TTGGTGTTAACCCCCGACTCCCTCACCCCTCTGCCCCCGCCCCTCTGAACTCAATAAGTATTCCTTTCATGCGGTGTGAAGCTCTGCTGACTTGAACGGAACTCCCTGAATTTCTCCATAATTATGCTAATGGTCCAGATGGTGGCGTGATGACAGCCATTCTCTTTGATATCTTCACACTGCACAGTCCTGCTGCTGACCACAGTCCAGCAGCAGGACTTAAAGTTCAGCTCACCTCCATGCTTGATCCCATATACTACAGGATATATATATATATATATATATACACACATATGTTTATATATATATACACACATATGTGTATATATATATACATGTATATATATATATATATATACATGTATATATATATACACATATGTGTGTATATATATATATATATATACACACATATGTTTATATATATATACACACATATGTTTATATATATATACACACATATGTTTATATATATATACACACATATGTGTATATATATATACATGTATATATATATATATATATATGTATATATATACATATATATATATATATATATACATACATATATATCCCCCCACGATCCTACCTAACTTTTGCAGAGTCGTCCCTGCTCTCCAACATAGATCAGCCATTCACCCTCAACTCACACAATGATAGTGTTCATCCGAGCTCTGAGCGAGTGGCACTGCTCACAGAAGCTCCTTTTCACGTCTCCTTTGGGATTAAATGGCCCTGTAGGTACAGCTCCAGCTGATGCAGGGGTCCCTGACGACGGTCCTGCCGGAGGCGGACTCCCATAAGGCATATGTAGTGTTCAATCAATAGCGTGTGGGCCCACACAAGAGCTGCAGATATCCATCTCCGCTGCGCCACACGCCCCTCGTTTGAAGCTCCTCATCAGATAGAAAGGCGACAATCTCCATTGTTAGCCGCGGCGCGTCTTCGCCCGTGAAATTTAGTAGAGCTTTATTGTGTGTTCTCTACCTTCACATCCTGGGAGACCGGCTCACGTGGGAATAGTCTGTAGCTGTAGGGCTTTCAGGTTTAGAGTTATTTACATACGCTAAATGTTTGTTGGGCTTTCAGCAGCTGCTGTCGATATAGACTCCAGGATTTGCTGTTCTGTCAATTTTAATACCTTTCATTCCCTCCCACCTCGCTGGGATGGTGGTGTGACTTGTTGGAAGTTTGTGGCACGAGGTCTCATAAATTACCTTCAGAGAAAAGTAAAGTAAATACTGTAATGTGTTGTGAAAAGTTGAGGGCGTTGAGTGTTTTCTTAGGATTACCGTACACAGTATTTGAGCAAAAACTTGCTTCTCTTTGGACAAATACAACAACTGTCCTGCATGCAGTCCAGAGAATAAGACCAGTCTGACCAATGACTGTTGTACAACTCACCCTCAAACAGCAGTAATGGGGAAAAAGGGAGGAAAACATTTACAATAAGAATTCAAGATGACTTCAAACTGGATTTAAAAATTGAAATAAATGTACTCCTCATCATTATTCTGGCTTTTTAAATTCAATGACACCTTTTTATATTTTATTGTATTTGCACAAAGTGAACAAAAACCTCTGTATCTGTGGTTTGCTCTGTAGATTTATGAGCTCAATGTGGTGAGACTCTGTCCATGGTGCTGAAAAGTCTCCAGGCAGACACCGTCACACGGGGGTGGTCGTTGCCTTTTGTCGTTGCCGGTGTTGTCATGTTTTGATGGCCGTTGACTTTGTTGTTTGGACCCAGTCCTTGTGTTTGTTCTGTTGATCTGAAATTATAGTCAAGGACAAAAGACAGTCCATCTGAGGACTGTCCACTCCAGTGATGTCCACACGTACGACTGTATGGTTAAAATTCAAATATGCACATGTGTAGCCTGGTAAAACAGTTTCCTGCTCCTCCCATCCATTCTATTAATTCATCCACAGCCACAGCCATACACCCCCACACTCCTCTCTCGTCACACCTCTCCTCCTCCTCCTCCTCCTCCTCCTATAGATGTCCACCCCTCTCTCTCTCTCCCTCTCCCTCTCGCTCTCTTTTTCCTCTCCCTCTTTCTCCCTTTCTTTCCCTCTATCTCTCTCGAACACTAACCTTGGCTCGACGTCAGAGCCTGTGCAGCAGTGCAGTATGCTGGGAGCTCAGGCAATCCGGAGCGCCTCATAGGGAGGCTGCACATCGCTGCTGTATCCTCTGCTTGGCGCTCGCTCTCTCTCTCTCTCTCTCTCTCTCCCTCCAGCGTCTCATCAACCTCTCTCTACCACACCACACCACCTACCCACAGCCCACGCTCGGGCTCCCCCCCCTCCTCACTGGATTCGTACCCTTCGTCATGGATGTCCCGCCGTCACTGGAGCCGGAGGATTGCTGTTTCCTGGCGCAGTAAAGGAGGAGGAGAAGGCGAAGAAGGAGAAGGAGAAGGAGGTGACGGGAGTCACGCCGGGACTGCTAATGGATTTGGGGAAAGCGCAAGTGACCATGCCGTGATCTTGCGCATCCAGGGCCGCCGTCACCCTGCCTTGCCGAGTGTCCGTATTCCGAATTGACCGTGGGAATCGAACCCGCGCACCGGGGGAGGAGAAAGAAGAAAAACAAACAAACAGAAAAAAACAACAACAACACCGTGCATCTTTTTAGTTTATTTTTTAAACAACATGAAGATTACCTCCCATCATCTGATGGTCACCAGTCTCGTTTTCAGGTCCAACCTCCGGCTGATCCCGCTTCTGCTGCTGCTGTTTCTTGGTTACACTCGCGGGATGCAACACGTTTTGAGATTTGGTAAGAGGCTCCATTTCTTCTCCACCGATGTGTTCAGAGCGAGATTTCTTTGTCACTGAGTATTTTTCCACCACACTTAGAAATACGAGCCCAGAGTTGATAAAGTGAACTGGAAAGATCGAACGTATCGATCCTTGTTTATTCTCATGCACCGTTGAGGCGGTGTTTTTGGCAACTTTTAGACAAAACCGAGTCACTGATCGGTATCGGTGCAAACTATAGGCAGGAGTTCCGGCGTTTGCAGCTCCTTGAACTCAACAAAAACACCCGGACTCGTGTGTCCTTATGGATCCACCGTATCTCCAAAGTGCTGACATCCCCAACTCGTCCTCTGCAGCAAATGTTTACATGTAAACACGGTGCGGATCGATAGCTGTGATCTGTCAGTGGAACCAATCGATAAGCGAGACTTTTTAAAGCCGTTGTTCTGTTTCTAAAGCTTGGGCTCACACTGATGGGTCCCGTTGGGGACCAAGGGTCGAGGAAACCTTTTTAAAGTATCCTATGTCCCAGAGTGGTCTTTCCGGTGTCTTGGTCAAAGTTGTTATACTAATTGTCATTCCGGTGTCTTGGTCAAAGTTGTTATACTTTTGACTAATTGTCATAGATATTTGCCAGCTGTGAGGTGTGTGTAATTACACGAGTTTTTCAACAACTCACAGTTGGTGGATTGTGTGATTCGGAGCCAGGTTCTGTGTGAATCGCGGCCTCCGTCGGTTCATCTGTTGCTGGATCTCCACACGATCGTTTTGCGCGAACATCTAACGGGGACAGTGGACGTCCTCCTGACAGGAGATGTCATCGGGTGTTGACAACACATCCTTGCACCCCCCCCCCTCAATACCCCCCTCTCTCCCCTCTCCTCTATTCCCCAGAGGGCCCTGTTTAAGAGTCAGACTGCGTCCGCATCAGCCGCCGCTATGGCAACGTGATGTGCTTTTTCTTCTCCTCCTCCTCGTTCTTGCTGCTGCTGCTGCTTCCTCTGCTGTTATATGAGCCATTTCCAGTCTCACACGTTGTTGGACAGATGTCCCGGCGTCTGTTCACTCAGGTCCTCAGAGGACCGAAGTTTCCCAAGAAGTCCGTAAACAGGTTACCGACCTGTCCGGTTCCGGTGTCCAACACACAGTTAGCACGTGGCTAAATGTGTGCAGTGATGTCCTGCAGTCTTACATTGTTGCTGCTATACATTCAGCTGACAGTAGACAAGGATTCACTGGAAAGTTTTGATCATTTACTGTAACAACTTTGAACTTAAAACACCGG